GATGTCTTCTACTCCTTCACATGTAATTCTAAAAGCACGTAATGTTCTCCCATATCCTACATAACAATGCAACCACTTGTATTGTAATCATTGAAGTAGTGAGTGAAATTCTCAAAATCCCCAAAATCATATGGATATGATGGTGGTGGTGGCTGCGGCATTCTCGAGTGATAATGATCATATGAAGCTGATTCACCACCAAAGAACCGTGAGCATTGTGGGTTCCAAGTCTCATATCTTGAACTATACGAGTCAAAATGCGCCTGTTTCTGATAATCTGCATGATTCCCAAACATTTGTTTCCCCACCCAAGAAGGCACACCTCGATTGGTACTTGCATTTCTTTGGAATCGGAAGTATGGATGCTTGAATATATCCTCTTCATCATCCTTTTCCTTTCTGGGTGCTTCGTGATCCCTGTGAGCCTCGTCATTGTTATCTTCCTTGGGTGGATGCAGATCATCATCGCGGCAGCAAAAGTTGGGATGCTTTTCTCTACCATTTTGCCAAGACTTTGGATTGCCATGATCATCATCATGGTTAGGATGCTTTTCTTTGCAACAATTTCCACTCCTTTCGTTATGGTACTGGTGCTTGTCCTCTTCAATTTTGGGCTCCTTGTCATAAAATATAAGTTCAACAGGTTTTCCAGTTCTGCCAATCTCCTTAACTAGCAAGAAAGGGTCTATATTGCCTCTAATTAATACCAGATTCTTTTCTGGATCTATAGACAATTCATGAATACCTAACAGGGAAGGCCAGAACAGTATAAAATATAAGCAAAACTTAAAATCAATCAATGACTTGAACATATAGTATTCATTAACAGACCTTCGATTGCTCGCAAACCTTTGTGCACTTTTTCATGACATTCTTCGCAGCACCCAGTTTTGACTCTTACTACAATAATCTGAAATAGTTTGATTGATCAAGAAAGCTAATAACCACAATTTCAGACCATAAATTACAGAAAACATGAGGACAACTGACACTTACCGGATCAAGAGCACGATTTTTCATTGTCCAAGCCTTGTTGCATGGGGGAGGGAAAAAAAAAAGAGCATGAAAACTACTTTAATATTTAAGCAGCATTGCAAAAAGGCAATTATATATAATCCAAGCTTTGGTAATTCAAGAGAAAATTGAAGTTTCCACCATCCAACACCACAAACATCGGTAGCATCAGCATTATACCATAGGTAGCATTGCATTTTCATATAGTATAAGTTCATGATCAAAATAACTAAAGCAACAAGACGAATGTAATTGAGATTTTTTTTCGTTGTATGATTAGTTCCAGTTAAGTTAACCCTTTGAATCCTTTTCCCTGTACTTCCAACAATAAACACTTTCACATAGCTCCTCTCCACTGATGTAGTTCAATCAAGAGACATGCCAAATAATACGAATTCCAGCTTTATGTGCCTAATTTTAGACCTTTGACTCTGAAAATCTCTATGTACAGTTCAGAATTGTATCCCTTTAGTCATAAAAGGCAAAAAGTGTCCAATTAATTGTCTCTGGCTCTATAGGTTCGTTCAAATCATGGGTACTTAACTATCAAGATCTTATCCCTAACCCTTAAACAAAAAAAAATAAAAAAGAAAGAAAAACTTAGCCGTAAAATACTAAGAACAACTAGATCCTTAAAACACTACGTTAGGACACTTGACAAAATTTATGAAAATCAATGGAAGTGAATTAGAACCAAAACCAAAGCCAAGTTGAAAGCTTACCAACTTCTACTAAAACAGTATTGCCAAGTATTTTGCCCCAGAGTTCAAACTAATTTTTGTGCCAAAACATGTACGGGATGTACGAATAGAAAGAAACTTATAAAGCAGAGACATGTTGGCTAAAGGAAGTTGTTTATCCATCATGAGAACACAAAAATATTTTAACCAAGCCATAGTATCCAGCCAAAACTGAACTTAAGGAAAATTAAACGGAAGAAAAATTAATGTAATTTTTTTTCGTACCAGTTGTGGGGGGAAAAAAGAAGAGAGACAGGATGCATAAAGGCACCCACAAGGACCAGAAATAACAATAAGTGGACGACTGAAACCTACGTCATTAGCATTACATGGAATGTATGTCTTGAATATATGTAAATTTTAGTTTATGTATTAAATAAATAAAAGAAACAGCTAAGCGTATCAATCTTACGATTCTGATTCTGCTAATGTTGCTTCAAATATGTCGTATATTATGAAGTACAAATAACAAAAATAATAATTACCATAATTAGTAACAAATGATAATAATAGAATTTTTAGGAGGACAAGAAACAGTGGCTAGATCACATAATTACCATATAAATGCGGAAATTTATATTGATTGCTCTCCCTATTTATACACTTTCTTGATTTACTTTCTCTTTTCCAAAAAAACTAGTTTTCCTTAATCAGTTAAAGAGCTAACTCGAAGTTACTAAATTTAAACATGGTTCCTCTTGTGTTTCTAAGTCAGCACTTCCTTCTACATTGTGTCTCCTTTTTTGCTAATTTCCTCTTGATTCCTTAAGGAAACAATTATTCCCTTTCATTTTCTTCTGCAAAAAAGGAAATGTTTCGTCTTATAATTGTGAATCTAACTTCTATTCTCTTCAACCTTTTTCCTCGCCCACGAAAGGAAGAAACTATAAAACCCTAAACTTTATAGTCTTCTTCACAAGAAAGTAGCCACAGTAGAACGATTTCTTGAGTTCCAGGTATGTTATTCAATAATGTCGTCTTTAATACTATTTTATTTGAGTATCAAAGCATATTTAATTTGATAATGATTCTATGATTTTTTCAATGTTTCTGGATGCAAGAATGCACATGCGTATCTGAGCATTTATTTTATCTAATTATTTTAGACTTTTCTGACTTTCAGTTATATTTGTTGCTTATTGCATTTTTTTTCCTTTTATTATTTTCGGTTTTTGTAAATGTTGCTGTATACATCGGTATGAAGTCTGTGAAGGAGATTTGACTGGATTTTTTTAGGGATATGTGCAACATAAAAACGCTCAACTGCAAATTTCTTTGCTAAAAGAAGGGAAACGAACTAGAAAAGTAACTGATAATTAGAAAATTAAGAGCTTAATTGAAATTCAAATAATTGGCATGCATCTATTCCAGTGCTATAATATATACAGGAGTCAATAGCATTTGTCTAAAAAAAAAAAAAAGCATTTGTCTAGAATATAATTTTTACACCATGAAAAGACTTGGACTAGCATTGTTAGGCATATTTAAGGAAAAAGTACCCAAAAGTTATAGTACACTATTTCAGTTTGCAATACGTGATCTTTCTCATCAATTCTGCTCCTCATCAATATCACTAGGCTAATTATTGATTTCTCATTTTGTTTTTCATCACATCCTCTACAGCAACAACGATTTGCCATGAAGTTCCTTGGTTTCAATTTCTTTGCTCGGAAACGACAAGTTGAAATACCTCCTCAAGTTGAGCAAGAGGAGTTGATGTTCATGGTATATTCTACTACAATTTCCTTTTCATCAAAAGTTAAATTTAGATAATTAATTTCTCAATGCTTAGTCTCTCACTCATTTAATTGGTTCTGTATTTCATTTTACTTTCTTCAGAATTGTGTTATAAAAATGAATAGGCTTCAAAAGGGGTGGCAAAAGGCAAGAATACAAATAATTGATTGTATCCAAGGTATTGTTAAAATTTCACTTTGTTGTTCCCTCTTTATTCATTTTCTTTTTTCCTCTATTGTTTCATCACTTCGCATACATCGCTATCTCTGATTTAGTTGTAAGTAGAATAGTCTTGGTCACAGAAAATTAAGGGATTTTCCCTTCAAAACCTGTGTGTATTGATGTTTAGCTATACGATTAAAAAGAAATAGGTATAATACAGTTGTGTTGTGTGTGATTCAATTCGGTTATTGTATACGCTGAAAATTTTTATTTGCAATCACATTAATCATTATAATGTTGTAATGAATACATGTGAAATATTTATTTATATGCGTCACTTTTTTCACGAATATAATAATACACCAACTCTATACCAAATAAGATAATAAATACAACAACCAGAGTGAATCACACGGAATCACTGCCCCTAGTCCAAACAAAAAGTATTGCTGTTATTGCTAACAAAAAAAATGTCGAATTTGTTTCCCATATTACGTATGTGTCCTTGTAATTCACAAGTCTTGCATTTTAGAGTGGGTGAGAAAAGTGCTTTAGTTTTTCTTAATTAATTATCCAGAATTTTCAGTGGTTAGTTTTGAGCCTTCAACGCATATAATTTATATTCCAGAAATTATGGACTGACTGAATCTAAATGCTTAATTTGTTTGGCTAAATCTTGGTGTGCATTCATTTCTCTTCTCTACACCATCAGTTCGCAATTATAGAGGGGAACAAGACGAAACAATGATACTATCAGGAATGTGTCATCCCACGGAGCTCTTAAGGACGATTAGGAATTGCAAAAAGAAAGCCGAGCTGTGTTGGTTTGAATATGGAAATTGCTCTAGCTATTTGTACGGGCCAAGCAGCAGAGTTCCTTGCCCACCACAGCCAAATCAACCTTCAAACATACCTGCCGCAAGTGCTAGTGATCAAGCAGCAAGAGGTACTGGAATTGCTACCCGAAGTGCTAATGATCAAGCAGCAAGGAATGGAAATGCTACCCGAGATGGCAACAAAATCCACTACTAAGTAGTGGTGGAGGCATTAGTTGTTATGTGGTTTAAGGTTGAAGGGCAGGCTGAGATTTACTTTTTGAAGGGATTACATTATAATTAGTGTTTTTTCGAGCAACTGATGATATTTGACTGGAACGTTATAGTACTTGATTACGTTTTTTGCCTATTTATCTATATTGGAATGAGGGCAATTTGCTCTTTACTTTTTTGTCAAGACTATCGCATATTGATTAAGAATCTTATGAGCCGTTTGTTTAAAATTTCAGAATCACTATCACTATATGCATCACAAATTGTAGAGCATGAAAGGCTTAACCAACAAAGTAAGTGAGAGAGCAAGATCTTGGAAGTGGCAGTTGAAAGTAAATGGGAACTTGGCACTGAGAATCTAATTAAAGTGCCCTAGCACAGCACAATAAAAGGAACAAATTCATGCTTCCTCCACCATATATATCTCTCTTGTTCTGTTTCTGCCTTTACACTAGAATCAATAGGTAAAATTCTCCCCTTTGCTAACTCCAAATCCATTGCATCCCTGCTTTCAGCAGCCAAATCCAATGGTTCATGGGTATAAAACCAAGCACATACTAGATAATAAATCACATTTACTACTTGTATTCCAGTTATCAGCCAGTAGTAATTCTCCAATCTTCCGTGATTGAGATTCCTATCAGGCAGCCAATTTCTTTCTTTACCACTGTATTTATGAACTGAAGAGACTAAGATGGACCTGAAATATATCCATGTGTTCAAAGTACCACAAATGGGGCGTTATGTTACATCATAGAATTGGGCGGCACCAATTTGGGCTAGACCACATTAGTCCCCCCAAGTAATCCCATAGCATAAATGAGTATATTTTCGCAAGAGCCCCTTAATCCCAAATAAATCCCACTCAATGCAACCCCACCATCATCAGGCTGCACTTAAATGAAAAATTGTATTCTCAACCTTCGTGTCTAGTACCACCAGGAAATTCTAAGAAAGAAAAATTGAGAAAAGTGGAGAGGCAAAACAGACAAATGCATGCAGAAGACTCAAATTTGTTTCTCAAAAGCGATCACACTAGGTGAAAAATGATCAGCACACAAAAGAATTTGTCATCCAATAACAGTTTCTAGTTATTTCTATTCTCAACTGAAGTTCAAGAATCTAAAACATAAATCCCAACTCTTTCTTGTTCGGTAAAACTTGAATCCTTGTTTCATGCATTTATATATCATGAAACTGATGGCAATTTAATCTGCTTAGCATATCGTTAAGGATAATAAATATATAAGAGGAGAGCAATAGAATCTACAATCGTGATCGTGGGGAAATAATTCATCAACTCTCATGTATTAGGCTTAACAGGTTGGAATAGAACAAATGACACAAGGAAGAAACTCACGTACCCACTTCTCAATTTGGAGCAAAGTAAGCAAGACTACGGAATGCAATATCTTAGTTACTGAAAAAGCCAAAATGATTTTTCCTTTTAACTTACGTACCAAAGTGATGTTATTGGTATTCACTGCCAGCCCATGGTGGAAGCAAGACAGCTAAGACGACCCTGCCACACAAGCACATGGAAGAAGATCCCATAGTTCCTCCTTAAACACAAAAGAACAATAATTGCATTAGATATAGTAATCTGGTGAGTAGACTTTGGCACTGGTTGATTTTCAACTCATTTATATGTGAATGATGCACTTGAAAGACGAGAAAGCCTTCTCTAACCAAGGCTCATTGTCGCCAGTCACAAGAAAGCCACAAATAATTCAAACCTTGTCCACTGGTAGTAATTGCTTAATTGCATAACATTCAATGACACTAAATAATCAATTAGAGGCCTGCCAAGACATTTACAACTAAAGCAATTAAAATCGGTCATGTGAATTTGAGGACAAAGTAAAGCGGTGTTCAGAAGTAAGAGCATATCAACAAATGCTGGCATTCTCCACCTACAATTAAAAAAGGCACTACACATATATATGCAATGGATCAATCATCAGTTCCACATTATATGCCTATTCCTTTTTACTACTACTTCCTCCATGTCCTCTGTTTTTTGTTGGTAGATAGCAACTTGTCTGGTTTCTCAGGTTGCTATTTTAATATGATTATTACACCATGCCCAAGTCACCAGAAAAAAAGCTTTCTCAATTGTGTACAAAAATGCTATCTGAATTGTATAATACTTGACACAATTCAGAAAAATGCTATCCAAACAATCAGGTTGCTAATTTCATATGTTTGATTTCTCAAAAAGCTGGGCTTAATAAAACATTAACCCAACAATTCCTACGAAAATATTCAAGCCAGTGATGATTTTCCAAAATCAGATTGGTGAAACTAAAAAGAAAAGAGAAAGGAAAGAAACGAAAATAGCCAGAGCTGAATAATAGACAAAAAAAGGAAAAAAAAAATTGCCACAGCTGAATCAACCACTAACTACTTGTTTCTGCTTTTCATGTTTCATTATTTCAAGCACAAATTCAATGTGGTAATCAAAGATTTGCCAATTAGTTATACAACAAGCCATTATCAGTAGCAGAACTTACATCAAGTACTTCCAACATAGTGATTATGATTTCAAGTAGATGTTAGTCAGACTGTGATTTTGCGTACTTACATCAATATATGCATCAATTGACATAGGGACAACAGTATTCAGAAGACTATCTAACAAATACTTGTTTTCTCCATTTATTTGGAAGTTCTCATTCCTCACTACAAAGATGCCTGCTAACAAGGAAATTCTTCTGGTACTTGACCCAGGGGCCACAACAAAGCTTTTGATTTGCCAAGTAAGGAAGACACATAACTCATTCATGAAGCATTCCAATGACTTCTTGGAACTTAAAGAATAGAGTGAGATTTCCCCGCTCATTAACACAACACATCCTTCTTTGTTAGTAGCTATAGGCATGGAAGAAATTGTGGCAGATTCTACTGCTTTGCCTATTAACTTGACCAGGTTGAAAATTGTTTGCCAGTCTTTGCCATGAATGGCTAGGAGCATTTGAAAAAAAAAAAAGAGATACAGAAAGTAACAGTGACAGCATTAAGCCCCTCGCCTTCTGTGAGTACTTTCATAGCGTGAATTTAATTTCACTAAAACTGATAATGCATACTTAAGTCAATTTAAAAATTGACACCATCCTTCGGCCAGCAACATTACATATTTGACAATTTATTGTACATATTTTGCATGAACCTAATTCTATTTACAAATAAATAACAACCAACCATGATATGCCTGATTATATGTAAATGTCTGAGAATAATATTTTATTTATGACTACTCATGGATGAAATTTAAAGGTGACGACACAACCAGAACACAAGGGTTGTTCAACTTCATATGCAGCAAGACAAATTGTGAAGAATAAGCAAATGACTAACCGTACGAAGCGAGTATGCGCCACTGAGACGTGAGATCCATACCTGTCATGCTGAAAAATCAGAGATTAATTTGAAAGAGAGTAAAGAGTTAATCACATAGTATTTCGTTGCATTAGGATCAACAACAGCACTTAGTCCTTAAGCCGTAATGCCTCATCTTCGATACTCAAGCAATGGTATGACTTTCAATTTGCCTGAACTAATCAATACATAATAATAATTCATGTCAAATTATGACTAGATCCGTTCAAAGACTAAAGACTGACTAGACAATTTAGGTCCAGTACGCCACAATACATTTTACAAAATTAAGCACTTAGGCTTCAATTATGAGTTATTGAAGAAACAAAAACAAAACCTCATTCTTTTCCATAGTTCCTTCAAACTTCAGTCTGCAATTATTCCCAAAACATTAATACTCCACAGGAAAAGACTCTGTAGGAGTTCTGAAGTATTTCAACCAAAGTACAACTTTCATGCTTCTTTTTTTCAGAAACCAAAGAGATGCAAAAAATCTACGAATTATGCTGAAATAAAATTTGCAACTAAGAGTAATCCATAAATTTGAAATGCATATCCAGAAACCTTCCCAACTTGAGCAATTAGGAAATACGTTTCGGAAATTCGTTTGCTTTGCCATTTTTACAAATACATTTTGGGCATTAGCGAAAACGGAACTTTTTTCTTTCAAATGTATTTCTAACCTATCCGAACTCACAACCAATGTTTCAGCAACACAAAAAATAAGAGAACCGAACAAATAATCTACCATTATTAACCTGAACTAAACCCACAAACAAGAAAGTATGGTCATGAAAAGCATTTAAAATTGGAGCACAAAATTTCAATTTCAGATAATGACAATCCGGCGATAGCGATGGCGATGGTGATAGCGGTGGTGGGCTGAAAATTACTAAAAAACAAAAAACCAAAGAAACTTCACCGTGCTTTTCTGAAGAAGAAATCCAGCCACCACAGTGCTGGCGAAGTCTGGTCGGCAAACAATAGCTCCTCTCTATTCCTCGAATTCCCTGTTTTGTTCTGGCTTTGCATTTGCTTTTCTTTTCTTTTTTTCCTTGTTCTCTTCTGTTTTGTTAGGTGGATGATTATGAAGATTGTGAAGGGATTTTGTCTAGGAAGAGATGTTGATTACTGATTCTAGGGAATGAAATGTCTGAAATGAGAGTGAGTTCTTCAATCGTTCAAGTTGCTTCCGAGACAAGAGTGAGTTTTGTCCGATGAATTGGAGAACAAAGAATGAGTCGGGCCACTGAACGCTTCAATCGTGCTTCTGAAATGCCCTTGAAGTTACCCAAAATTACAGTATAACCGGTGCTCTGGCAACTCCAACTCGCGCTTTTAGTATAGTAAGGACTAAGGATGTATAAAATAAATCAAAAAAAATACAGCTGAGCGTATCAATCATACGATTCTGATTCTGGCATTATTGTTATTTCAACTAGGTAGTATATTATGAAGTACAAATAACAAAAATAATAATTACCATGGTTAGTGACAAATAATAATAATAAATCTAATACTAATAGTAATAATAATAGAATTTTTAGAAGCACAAAAAATAATGGCTAGCACACATAAATTACCACATAAATGCGGAAATTTATTTTGGTTGCTCTCCCTATTTATACACTTTCTTGATTTACTTTCCCTTTTCCAAAAATTAGTTCCCCATGATCAACCAAAAATGCTAACTCGAACTTGCTAAATTTAAACATGGTTCCTCTTGTGTTCCTGAGTCACCACTTTCTTCTACATTGTGTCTCTTTTTTTGCTAATTTTCTCTTGATTCCTTAAGGAAAAAATTATTCCTTTTCAATTTCTTGTACAAAAAAGGAAATGTTTCGTCTTATAATTGTGAATCTAACTTCTATTCCTTTCAATTTTTTACCCTCTCCCACGAAAGGAAGAAACTATAAAACCCTAAACTTTATAGTTTTCTTCACAAGAAGGTAGCCACAGCCGCTTTCTCTTCACAATACAATTGTATCAGTAGAATGATTTCTTGAGTTTCTAGGTATGTTTTTTAATAGTGTTGTTTTTAATACTATCTTATTCGAGTACCAAAGCATATTTAATCCAATAACAATTCTATGATTATTTCAATGTTTCTGCATGCAAGAATACACATGCGTATCTGAGCATTTATTTTATCTGATTATTTTAAACTTTTCAGGCTTTTAATTATATTTGTTGCTTATTGCATTTTTTTATTATTTTCGATTTTTGTAAATGTTGTTGTGTACATCCATATGAAGTTTGTAAAGGAGATTTGACTGGGTTTTCTGAGGGATATTTGCATTATAAACCTCTCAACTGCAAATTTGGTTGTTAAAAAAAAAAGAAAAAAAACTAGAAATGTAACTGATAATCTGAAAATTAAGAGCTTAATTGAAATTTAAATCATTCGCATGTATCTATTCCAATGCCATAATATATACAGGAGACAATAGCATTTGTCTAGCATTGTTAGGCATAGTTAAGGAAAAGATTACCCAATAGTTATGGTATACTATTTCTATTTGCAGTATGTGATCTTCGTACTTCATTTAAATAAAATATCACTAGGCTAATTATTGTTTTCTCATTTTGTTTTTTCATCACATCCTCTACAGCATCAACGATTTGCCATGAAGTTCCTTGGCTTCAATTTCTTTGCTCGAAAACAACAAGTTGAAATACCTCCTCAAGTCGAGCAAGAGGAGTTGATGTTCATGGTATATTCTACTACAATTTCCTTTTCATCAAAAGTTAAATTTAGATCATTAATTTCTCAATGCTTAATCTCTCACTCATTTAACTGGTTTCTGTACGTATTTCATGTTACTTTCTTCAGAATTGTGTTATAAAAATGAATAGGCTTCAAAAGGGGTGGCAAAAGGCAAGAATACAAATAATTGATTGTATCAAATGTATTGTTAAATTTTCACTATGTTGTTCCCTTTTTATTCATTTTCTTTTTTCCTCTATTGTTCCATCACTTCGCATAGTTCACTGTCTCTGATTTAGTTGTAGTTTTGGTCACAGAAAATTAAGGAATTTACCCTTCACCACCTGTGTGTATTGATGTTTTGCTATATGGTTAAAAAGGATTAGGGATAATGCGATTGTGTTGTGTGTGATTCAATCTAGTTATTGTATATGTTTGAAATTTTTATTTCAAATCACATTATAATATTGTAATAAATTTATGTGAAGTGTTTTATTTATATACATCACTTTTTTTCGTGAATATAGCAATACACTAACTCTATACCAAATAAAAGTACAACAACTAGAGTGAATCACACGGAATCACTGCCGCACTGCCCCTAGTCCGAACAAAAAGTATTGCTAGTGTTGCTAACAAAAGAAAATCTCGAATTTGTCCTTAATTCCCATATTACTTAAAGTGTCCTTGTAATTCACAAGTCATGCATGTTAGAGTGGTTCAGAAAAGTGCTTTAGTTTTTCTTAATTAATTATCCAGAATTTTCATTGGTATAATTTATGTTCAAGAAATTATGGACTGACTAAACCTAAATGCTTAATTTGTTTGTCTAAATCTTGGTATGGATTCTTTTCTCTTCTCTACCATCAGTGCGCAATTATAAAGGGGAACAAGACGGAACAATGATAATATCAGGAATGTGCCATCCCACGGAGCTCTTAAGGACGATTTCGAATTCCAAAAAGAAAGCAGAGCTGTGTTGGTTTGAATATGGAAATTGCTCTAGCTATTAGTACGGGCCAAGCGGGGAAGTTCCTCGTCCACCACCGCCAAATCAACCTTCAAACATACCTGCCGCAAGTGCTAATGATCAAGCAGCAAGAGGTGCTGGAATTGCTACCTGAGGTGCTAATGACCAAGCAGCAAGGAGTGGAAATGCTACTCAAGATGACAACAAAATCCACCACTAAGTAGTGGCGGAGGCATTAGTTGCTATGTGGTTTAAGGTTGAAGGGCAGGCTAAGATTTACTTTTTGAAGAGATTACGTTACAATAAGCAGTGTGTTTTCGAGCAACTGATGTTTCCGTTTGGATTAACTGTTTTTAGAGGTATTTTTTAAAAACTTTACTGTAACTGTGTATATGAAAAACCTTTACTGTAGATGTTTTTTGGATTGTTTTTAGAGGTATTTTTGAAAAATATTTTTGAGTATTTTTATAATTTACAATTTTTTTGGGATTTTTTTAAATATATACTGGCTATGTTTCTATATATTAATATTTATTTATTTATATATATAATATTTTTTATTTCAATTTTTTTATAACATGTATATTAATATATATATATTAATATATATATTAATATATATTTATATATATTATTTATATATATTTATTGTATATATTTAATATATATATTATTAATATATTTATATATATTTATTGTAAAACAAAATTGAAATATATATATATTTATATATTTATATAAATATTTTTATTTATATATATTTATAAATATATTTTAAACAAAATATTTATATTTATATATAAATATAAATATTTATTTCAATTGATATAATATGCATAATTGAAATATACATATTAATATTAATATAATTTATATATATATATACTATAATATACATAATTGAAATACACAAATTGAAATATACATATTAACATACATATTATAAACAAAATTGAAATAAATATATTTATATATTTATATAAATATATATAAATATAAATATAATATATTTATAAATATGTATAAATATATTTTAAACAAAATATTTATATTTATATATTAATATATAATATTTATTTCAATTGATATAATATATACAATATACATATTAATATACATAATTTAAATATACATATTAATATATATTAATATACATATTATAAAACAAAATTGAAATAAATATATTTGTATATTTATATAAATATATATAAATAAATATATTTATATATTTATATAAATATATTTTAAACACGATATTAATATTTATATATGAATATATGTGTTTATTTCAATTGATATAATATATATAATATACATATTAATATACATAATTGAAATATACAAATTGAAATATACATATTATACAATAAAATTGAAATAAAAAATATTATATATATAAATAAATAAATATTAATATATATATAAGATAAAACGAAATTGAAATCGAAAAATCTGATTTCTATTTCCAATTTCAAAAACTCCATTACTGAATTCGAGCTAAATTCGCATAATTTGAAATCGAATTCCAAATTTTTTTGTATATTTGGAGTTGTTTTTGATATAGTGTTTTTGTTTGTGTATTACTGTAGCATTGTAGATGAAAAAATTGTTTTTCAAAAAATACTGAAACCAAACAGAGCCGATGATATTTGATTAGAACGTTATAGTACTTGATTACATTTTTTGCCTAGTTATCTCTATTGGAATGTGGAAAAGCTTGGGTCTGAAAATGCCATGGCAATGCTAAATTTTTGCCTAATGTGTTTGGATTGTCTTCTATTTCACTTTATTTACACCTTATTTACACACACTAATTTGCTTGCTGTACGCGATTAAAATATCAAGTCTGCAAAACGACAAGAAAAAAGAAATACACGCCAAATATGTAATATATAAATTTGGGAAAATATGTGGGTATAATCTCTGAAATTTTCTCGAACTTATAGAGAGTTTCCTTCGATTCTTCTCCTTGAACGTCAATCCAAGGGCTTCGTAATTTATTCTTCGATCAACCACCGATTCTTTCAAATCTTGATATGGAAGATTTGAAGAACTTGAAAATATTTGGAGGTTCAAGCCTTGATATATGGAGGACTTGAAGACCCAGACCTTCGTAGTTTGGAGTTTCACTACTTGAGTGTATGAGATGCCTCCTGATGTGTGTGTGTGTCCCTGACTTGGTAGAGAGACCCCTATTTATAGCTGTAGTATGAGGTAGAGATTGAAGACATGTATACCA